GTGTGGGGATGTCGGTGTGGTGGTTGTTGCAGTGCCGGTGATGGTGAAGACGGTGTTAGTGTTGGTGTTGGTGTTGGTGTTGGTGGGAATAGGGTTGATGCTGGTTAGGGTTAGGTTGGCGGGTTCGGGGTGGTGGGGATGGGATTTTCTCAAATGCGCGCCGCGTGCGCGTAGCATACATTGACACCTGCACATTGGCAGGGCAGCCCCATGGAAACGGCCCCGACCCAGATCACCCGCTCGTGGCCGCTGCAGCGACTCAGGGCTGCAGGCGCTTCGTGACACAGCGCGAGATGCGAACCCTCAACTCCCCCCCAACTAGCCGGCTGCCTCAACCTCAACGCGCCATCAACCCGGGAACCGCGCCGCACCTCGCCGCGGCCGCGGCCGCACCTGAGCGTGACGTAGTACATGCTCTTGAGCAGCCGCTCGCACCAGGTGCCCTTCCAGTGCGCGGCGATGGACAGGGCCTCCATCCAGGGCGCGAGGCACGTCAGCACCGGGTGCTGCATCACCTGGGGGGACACGGATCCGGCGGCGGCGCGACGAATCTTGCAGCCGCTGGGCGCTCGCGACGGATTTTGCCCGCTCGTTTGTGGAAGTGGCGGGCGAGCAGGGAGTGCGACGGCTGCACGCTTGACAAGGCGCTCATCACATCTTTGAGAAGTGCCCAGCAAATCACTAACACGCATGCTCGCATGCACACGTACAACACGCACACGCACGCACCTTGTCAGCGCACTCCAGTTGCCGCGTCATCATCTCCTCACACAGCTGCTCACTCAGCTCAGGGTGGTCCCTGGTGCGGCATGATGGGCCAGAGCATGATATCGATGGATGGGCCGAACGCCAGTGGGCTCGCGTGCATGTGCATGTGCAAGCGTGTGTGTGTGTGTGTGTGTGTGTGTGTGTGTGTGTGTGTGTGTGTGTGTGTGTGCACGCACACACAAGCGCAGATGGTGCTGCGCAGCACAGCCCTATGACCTAAGTCGTGCAGGCGTCGCTCGTGTAGGCGTCACTCGTGTCTTTCAAACCACCCACCTGGCGAGCTTGGCCGACAGCTGGTACTGGAACTGCTGGTACGAGTCCTGCAGCGCACCCAGCACCACCACACTGCTGGAGCCGCCTGGGGACAGTGATGGGATTGCCCAGGCGAGAGCGTTCAGGGTGGTGCGAATATAAGCACGCATGTTTGGGGCCGTGTGTGCAAGCTGGGGTATGCAACAGGGAAGCGGTGCCATGAGGGGGATGTCGCACTGGCCCTCAAATTGGATCAGCTGCCCTGATGGCCACTCACCACGCAGCGCGTCCTCCCAGCCCTCAAGAAGCTGCTCCAACGACAGCTGCCCCCGGAACGCGTCCGTCGCCGCCACCAGCGCGCCCGCGCCGGCCCCGCCGACGCCGACGCCGCTGCCGCTGGCGCCGCCGACGCGCCCCCGGCCGCGCGCCGCGTCCCCGTGCTGCCACTCGCGGGTCGACAGCACGTGGAGCATGTGAAGGGCGTCCTCGCGCACCTGCCACCGTGGGACCGAAACGGACAAAAGCAAATTCACAGCTTGCCGTTAGCCGATGCGGGACTCAGAACGAGTGCACATGCATGAAGCCGCCCCAGCCTGCAGCCTCCTGGAGCAGGCCCCCCCCGCCAGGCCTCGAGCGCCGGTCCCAGGCGTTCCTTCCCGGCGCGCGAGCCGCGGCCCGCCGACCCCGACGCCACGCAGCCCTCAGCGGGCGTCTGGGTCTCCGTCGATCACCATCCATCCACCCTCCATCCCCCGGGTGTTGTACCCATCTGAGACCCCCCCTCCCCGCACCCGCCTTGGGCCATGGGGCCCACGCTGCAAGAGGGGCAACAAACCAAAAAAGCGCCCAGGCCGCCCGCCGCCTGCACCCACCTCAGGCCCGGGGTCCACCATTTTGTACAGCACCAGGGAAAGCACCACGTGCGGCTCGCAGGGCACCAGATGCAGCGCATACACCTCGCTCACAACCTGGGGGGCCGCGAGGGGGGCAGGAGGGGTGGTGTGAGATGCAGCGCTATGCGCAGAATGGGCGTCGCGCCGGGAGGCAATGCCCTCGTGTCGCATGGTCCGTGCATTGCCAGGGGCCGGCCGCGCCTACGGCCGCGCAGGCAGTGGTTTGGTTCTGCACAGGAAGCTGTCAGCTTGCCTGCCTGCGAGGCGTGGCGGCCCTCATGCAGGGCCGCGGAGCCAGCACAGCAGGGGAAGGGGACGGCGGCAGCGGCCCGCAGGCACGCTCCGCCCCACAGGTGCCCGGCCAGCCGCCGCCGCGGCCCGCACCTGGAAGTAGCCCGTGGCGATGCTGGGGTCTGGGTGGTAGCAGCGGTCCACGCAGACGCTGAACATATCAAGGTTGAACCTCAGCAGGTGTCCCAGCGCCACCCGCGCGACGTGCGCCCGCGGCGGCCCCGCGCCCGCGCCGCCGGGCCCTCCACCGCCGCCGCCCGCGGCGGCGGCGCCGCCCTTGCCGGCGTCGTGG